ATTCTTTTGGGCTGAAATTTTTAGGACTATCGAATGACTATGAGACCTATCTATTGGCAAAATTTCAGGTCAAAATTCTGCAATTCCATGTTTTTATATATGCCTTGCCATAGGCCGAAAATTCAGTAAAACGGTCATAACTCAAGAAAGACAACGTATGGGGATGAACTCTTTTAGAGTTCTTCTAGTCTCATCGGGTTCTACTTATGGACAAAATATGAACCCGATCGGTGATTAACACTTGGGATAGTTCCCTCGTTAGAGTATGCACAGAGCTTTCTAGAGTGGCATTCGGTGAAAGATATGGTGGGCAAAGCTCTCTAAGGCCCTGAGCACATGATAGCGACCATGGGGGAATTTATTTATCATGAAAAGTAGAATGAGCTAAGGCCTCTAGAGTCATTGATCGTGAAAAATATTTCGGTACATTTTTCTATCTTGCGTCCATAGGCGATAAACTCGCATATGCACTGAAAAAAGTAAGGTACCATACGAAACCGTACTAGGGTTTCAATTTTTGAAACAAAATCGGAACTCCCGTATGGTTTCGTACAAACAAGATGTCGTGCAGACCCTTCATTTTGTGTTTCTAACACAAGGATTCCGCAGCACTATTTTCGTACTGGACTCATTATTCTACTAATACATTTATGCATCCAAATTTATTCCTTACCCATTTATACCTTAACCTGTCCCCTTAAATCTGTCCTCCACCCTTATTCCTAAATATAATCCCCTTATTTTTTCCTTAACATTATTTTCCTAAATCAATCCCATCCCATTTACCTATTATTAACCCTTATTTCTAAATCCAACTCCCTTACTCCATCTCTAGCCTTCTTCTTCTGGATTTATCCCGTCTCTCTTGTTCCTAAATCTAACTTCCTTAATCTATCCGCTTAAATCTATTGTTCATCTCCTAACGTTGAATCTAAATCCGGAAATCTATTCGTAATTTCCATAAATCTGCACATTTAAATCTATTTTTAATCCATATTGCTGATTCTAAATTGTTTAATCAATCGTTCAGCACTGTTTTTATACCAAATTTATTATATTCATGCTGAACATTTCATATATGTATATTATTCCTTCAATTCATTCGTAGGCCGTAATTTCTACGTCTAAGCCCTTATTTCTATTTTTAATAGTTCACTGCTATATCTAAATCTTTGTATCGCTCATCAACGCCTTATTTCTATATACAGAGCTGTAATTGGATGCACAACCTCTTATTTAAGAATCTAAGCTGCTGTTGAATTTATCCTGAACCACTTTGTTACATTTAATCTTTTATCTCTATGATTAATACTTCATATCTGTATCATACTGCTTAAATCAATCATGAATCTTTTATTTTAATATCTAACTACTGGTTTTCATTCTTTACACTTTACCACTAAATCAGAAGCCTTACATGTATGGAGAGCAGGTTAGTCCTTAATCTGGAATTTGTTTGTGTATTGTATAAATAATCATTGGAATATTGTCGCGTGTTTTCAGCCACCTGTACCATGTCATCAACATTTAAGTTCACTGTAGTTCCATCAGGATGTCAATAGAAACAAAATTTGTAAAATGCAATCAGTGCTCAGTATAATTGTCATTACTAATCCTTTGAAAACAGCATTTATGGTCTGTATTGGTAGAAATTTTCGCATTAATCATCGCGTGTCAGGACTGACGCTCGTTTATTTCCATAATGCAGAAAACTCTATAGGATCATGAACACAGTCTACAGTCAACACGCGAACATCATCATTACAGCCCATATTGATCAGTTCATTTCTTGTTAACGGCCTATTTTGTGGATCTGTGAACGAGTGCAGTTCCAATTTGAATAGTGCTCTGATTGAACGAGGTTTTGAAAGTCTATCATTATCAATAGACAAACGTGTATATGTCATCGAACAGATTAAAGCACTCGGAACGAATAAAAAGTGACTATCAATATCAATTAGATTGAATTCAAAGTTAGAAAAAAGTTGAGCAATCGTTGCTTTTGTGATCATGCTGACTAATCTGCATGCAAATAGTCTCATTTTCAGACGCACTTCAATGTATTAATTAAAGTCGTGATTTAGTTTGTACGAAGAATCAAACGTGCTTTGTCTGTTACTTGTTTTTAATGCATGCAGCTATGTAGTCTACCTGCCTGTTTCTGTTCGTTATGAGTCACAAAACAAAATTGGCCCAGTCATACAGCCACTCATCCTTTAGTTTATTCGCTCTGCATCGTACATCACCGCGATTTCAGTTAGTATAAGATAGAAGGAGCACTTGATAACAGAAGCTTTTTATAATGTTAACATCTTTCCAGGTTTTATGGAACACATAAATAAATTCAAGTTTATCAAAGAGAAAATATTTTTGTCTCAAGAAAAAACTTTAGAATAAACTTATTCGGCATTCAGTTTTTACTTCATACAATTGCTTCTAAGCATAAGATGATGACAAAAGACTAGTGAAATAATAACGCGATCGGCTCGCATTACGTAGCATACAGTGTCGGTCTGTGAGTATGCGCATGGCTACAATACATAAGGATAGGATGATGATGTCGTGGTAATGGGCTACAGAAACTTGTGAGAATGAAAGGAAGATCTTATCAAAGTGTCCCAAATCTTCGAACTATCGCAAATTTGCTGCTAAAGATTACCTCTTACAAGTCATTGTCAGAACACACATAATTCCCGAATGGTCGAAAAAAGTTCGGTAGTTATGAGTGGAGATCTGATGATCTTCTCTTTACTGGCTTGTCATAATTATTATCAGTCTTAAGTATGAGAAAATAAATCGACAAGTCTAAATTAAGGACTGAGAAAGATAAAGATTTCCCACGACTGAATTTTGCAGATTTTCAGTTATGAGAAGCTTGATAGAAGAAATAAATTTACACTCGAAACAATGTTTCAATTGTCTGGATTTTCTTTCAATAGTTTCTAGGTGTGTTTGGGATCATAGAAGAAAATTATGTTTGCATCACTACTCTGAATGAGATAGTGTAAATGGTTTCAACAATTGGATTAATTGTGTACCGATGTAAACTTTATTTTTGAGGATTGGATAATTTGAAGAACAAAAATAAGTTTCTATAGATTGATGATAATATCAAATGATACAAGACTGCTATATTACTACCACTCAAGGCATAAAATCAGGACGAAAAGTCATGTAAATTACATGATTTTAATGAAAGTTTTTCCACAGAAAAATGTTGGCTAAAACCAAAAATATACCATTTCTGATAATGAGACAGGTATTTTTTTATCTGTTTTAAAGTAATTTATCAGTTTCAAAGTTTTCATTTCATAAAATGATTGAATTGGCATGAAAGTCATGAAATGAAAATTATTGAATTTTCATCAAAGTCATACAATGAAGAAGACCAATAACAAAGAGGTAACCTTTTTTGTCACTTCAGCCATCTGCAGACTAAAATGACATAGTCTTATCTGTACTTGACTTAAAGTCTCCAATGATATCTTTTGAGTGGATGCACAATGAAATTTTGCAAGACAGATTTACCTTATTGTCGCGTAAAGTGACACCTAATTACAGTATTGAAATTAATGATTTATGATGGTGGAAAAGATAGCATAAGATATCTTATCTGTCCTTACACATGCCGCATTGCGAAAAAGCGATATGTATATAGGGAAAGATATTTGGGTTAAGATTTAATTAATCATTTTCATCGTATATTATCAAGGTCATGGAATGCAAATGATGCAGAAGTAATAAAACTAATCTAAGTATTTGTACTTTTTGTGAACTTTACAAAGTTATGACATTTCTCAATGAAAATTGCCAAAACAACCATTTAAATGAAACTATTTTTGTTTCCTACATAGTTAGATGTGGGAAAAATCGAGCTGAGGAGAAAGTAAAAAGTGTTTTGTTCTCTAAAACAGAAACTTCTTTCAAGAAAAAGAAATATAAGATAATATTCAGAAAGCTTGACATAATTCTAGACTCATTTTTGTAAAAAAGATTGCACTGTTGGCTCTTCTCATATGTATCAATCCATCTCTGACATTGTTATTTTTAGCCTGATGATTATTAAGAACCAATTTATTGGATTATTTTATTTTGCTTCCCATTATTAATACGGCAAATGTAAGAAAACATGCATATTTTTTTAATATTTCATCCAAGCTTTACGTCGATTACATGATTCAGAAACCAAATCGTTATATGGAGGTATAGCACTCAATAATTGCTGGTTAACAATGTTTCCACCACCAAAGATAACACGACGCGAAGCATTATTATAGAATTGCTGCCATTGTTCAGCTAATTGAGGTGTCCATTTTAGATCCATTAATAATTTCTTAAATTTATCATAATTATCAATTTCTCTAAAATAAAATTTTTCCTTGAAATCCTGTATCTATATACATATACTTATTGATATCTATCATTCGTAAAACTTACAATGAATTTTTCAAAAAACTTCGCCATGATGACAAATCATTTTCTGTTCTACATTGAAAAAGATTATCTATTCGCGGATAATACATAAATGCATGAATACACATTTCGTCTTTTGTTCATTCACCACCCTATAAATAAAAGAAAATGATTGGGAATAAAAGTATTTGTTATCATCAATATACCAATGTCATTTCGTCTTTATTTTTTGTATTGTATATGCATCGTGTAGCAAATTCATCACCCTAACAAAACATAAGATAAGTAGAACATATCTTATTAGAATACCAGATAATTTATGAAACGATATCAATGTAAATGCTACTTCAACATCCGGACATGATTCTTTTTATTATGTGACAGTTATCACAACACCAACTAGCATTTGTAACAAAAATCCAAAAATAACTTCGAGTAATTCAGCTTTGTGTCTCCTATAATCATCGAGTTAGGAATTTAATTCGATCTCACTTTTGCAGCATACATTTTGCTCGTTCTATTTAAGATAGAAAGTCATATATTCTTTGATAAGGATTGATTCCGTAAGTGCATGTTATGTCTGTAATATCGATTATTTATGATCTGATTGATCGATGTTAGTCACATATGAGACTCAAGCTCAATTAACAGTTTTAGCTAGGTAAATACTAATATAGAAAATACAGTTGCTTCATTTACTGTTTTATTTATGAATCAGATAGTATGTTTATAATGTACAGATGACGATGAAAAAAGTGTTCGGATCCAAGTCAACAAATATCTGGGTAAATTTACCAAATTAAAACGTTCAGATTTGATGCAAGTCTAGTTGTGACATGTAAATGAGCTCATCGATGCTACGAAGTTTGTTACAAAAACCCAAATGGCAGAAATACTTCTGGTCAGTTTGTAGTATTCCATGACTTTCAGCAAAGTGTCTCGAGTATATTGTAGAAAATGTTTAGAAACGTTATGTGAACTGTGACATTGTTCTGTAAAATGTTCTGAAATGTATTAAAATGAGTTTTCGAGTATTTCATATTTTTGAAATTCTGTTTAAAATCTAAATTTCTCAATGTTCATAGTATGTATTGCAATTTTTGTTAGCTTTTACTACAAAAATTATACACTTTCATTAAGAGGATCTGTCTCAGACGAAATTTAGAAAGATTATGCAACTGAGTGTATTTTTACAAACGAAAGAATATAAAAATATAAAACAAATTATTTTACACCCTCGAACAAAAGTCTTTTTCCTTTTTCTCTTTTGATGCTGTCATCCTTTATATTAAGTTTCTTACTGAGTAAAGATATGATATGAGAGTTTTGTTACAGTGTGATTTGTGCACCAAAATAAAATAAAACTTTCATGTTATATTGCTACTCAATAATAAACTTAATTCAAAGTTCAATAGCATAAAAACACCAAGAGACAAAAGATTTTTGCTCGAGAATGCACGTCCTACAAAGGAACCGATGCATGAGTTTTTTATATATTTAATTCTTAAGAACGAGTCAAAGAACCAGTTTTAAAATAAAGTGATCAATATAATGACATGCTGTACCACATAACAAATTAATCACTTGAATAAATGAATTTCCAGAAAAATACAAGGGAAGAACTGCATTACTAGGCCATGGTTACGATCATTTTATTAAATGTTCAGCTTACCGCAAGATATTACAAGAGAAACTGACTCAAGGAATTTCAACACGAAACTTAGTCCAAAAAAAGGACTTCATAGTCTCTCTTATATTATGGAGGTCTCATCCAATACGAATAGTATCTTTCCGAGATATTGGATACATAAAAAAACAAGATTTTTGTTTTTCGAATATTTTGCACGAAAGAAACATTTTTGAAAAACGGACATCACAAGGACTGTAAGTTCCATTTCTGGACAAAATTTTAGACTTAAATTTCAGTAAAATAATCATAAACCGAAAATAAAAGATTGAATGGTGCTCTTTCAGAAAATATAAGCTCAAACGGAAAGTATCAGTTGGTTATGTTCCTTTTTTTTCGTGAGTCTAGAACGATTTCAGAGATACGCAATTATATTCTGATAGTTGACAAGGAAGAATACTTTTCTGGCTTTTCGACCACGTGGAAGAGTTTTACAAGGATAATGAATGATGATATTTGGACCTGAAATTTTTCTCAAAGATCAATCTCTTGGTTGCTCGAATGTACTAAATTTGCTCTCGTCTCGAGATACAAAGTTAGAAAAATGTTCATGTGTTACAAAAAGTCAGAAAAAGCTAGGTCTCCTGAAAATCCAGTGTCTTAAACAAAGCATTTACTTAGTTGAAAGTTTTAAGATGCTCTACAGATCGTAAAACCAATCTTTGGACACAATTCCAGCATGGAAATGCATCATCTTTTTAGCTGTAAGCCACTTGCATACAGTGGAGCGTGAGTGTAGATATTGTTTAACCGGCCCACATGCTCACAAATGACCTTAATGGCTTATCTCCTTTGTGAGAAAGATATTGAATAACCGTAAGTTTACTTTAAAAATGTATCATTTTTGAAGTATCTATCTAACTTTTTTTACCTGAAAGAAGTTTTAAATTTTAGCAAAAGAATTAGAAAAAGCGAGGAATGAATTTATTTTTTTGTCGTACTGGATAGAGTTTGATCGGTTTTGATAGACGATTTTCAAACTGATAATTAAAATTGAAAGAATCTGCATTGAATAAGTATTGCACAGCTCGATTACTACGAATCACTTTTGTCCACATACTTCGACCTAAATATTTAATATTATTGACCATAGATAACACTCTGCTGGTGCTTTATTACCTTGTAAATGAGTGTGTGGAAGAGCACCAATAACTGTGATTCCAGACTCAGGAAAATTCTATAAATAGATAAGAAAAACCAACAATTGCTTTCAGATTGTTTTAACTAAGCAATAGCGTTTACAACATGTATATTGTGTCCTGTTATAAATATTTATTTATACATAAGAAACTGAATTTTTTCTGAATTTTTAAGGGGAGGGTCACTCTTCTTTCTAACATTTCTCTGGAACAATTCAATGAAAAATGCTGAAAATTTCAGTACAGATAAATTGAGATCATTGAAACGAATGACTTATTAAGATAGGAAAGCAAGGAATAGGTCTCCTTATCTACATACTTTACTGAAGTTGGTTGGGCAATAAGAATCGATTATAAAACGATCGACATGTGGTGGAATAGCAATCCCATACGCACTTGATGACAGACCGAATATAACATAGCCAAGATCATACTGACGAAGTTTGCTATCAACATAAAATTTTATGCCCGAACTGTCACGACGGTCTATTAAATTGATGATCTAGTACAATGTCTTTCTTCTCATAAACAACTGATCTCATACTTGATAATAATCGTGCATTGTCATAATGCACTTGAACCATAAAATATTTTACGGGAAGATCACCACCAATAGGATAGCCAGCTTCAGGAACATATTCTGAAACCTATTGAAAATTTTTTTCATTCTTATTATTTTTCGTTATTTGTACTATCAAACTACAGTCTTACATGATCTGCACCAACAGACCACATCGTCATCATATTTGATACACATGTTTTTATCTGTTTGACTATTTGATCACATTCACCCTCGGGCAAATTGGTATCATCAAAATTAGTTGTTTCAGGATGACACTCATACGTATCCATATGATGAACAAGATCACGATTTGTAGAATCAATAATTATTTTGTGCTATAAAAAACAATTAGTATTTCATCAATTATTGGAATTGCATCATACTGCAATAGCATGACGTTTCATGGGAAAATGGCTTGGTAATTTGAATACTTTGCAATAATATGTTGTATCAGTTGGTGGAACTAAATACTAATATGAAAATAAATATTAATAAAATAAAAATTATCAAAAAATAGCTTTCAGTCTATAACAAACATTATTCATTAAGAAGTCGAATGAATCAAATTCAGCAAACTTGCTTTCTGGAGGTGGATCACTATAAGACTGTAGTGGAATAATACGTGAGCCTCGCCGATTTTCGTGATATGAAATATCGTCATCTAGTTGACCTATATTTGGATCCATTAAACCATAAGCAAATATAAGAATATTCGTTCCCGACTAGATAAATATATTCTAGTAAGATACATAAAAAAAATTGATAATCTTATACTTTAATTGGCACATCCATTGAATCACAAGTGTCTAACAAACGTTTAAATTGAATTGCTGTCCATCCATTTTGTTCACGACCTTGAAGACCATGCCAATCCATTGTTGTAGTATCAAGAATAGGTTTTGAAAAATTAAAAGCATATCGATCCTAATAAAATGACTGAAGTTTTCAATAAAATTTGGAAAAACACTGTATGTTTGACACGAATAGAAAGAAATGAAGTTATTCAATGTTTACAATTGGCAATCAAATTGTGTCTATTTGTCAAGGTTATTGTGACACTAACAGCAGTTTTCTTACTTGAAAATGAACGTTACCCGCTTCACCGATCCAACCCATGCCGATATCTGCACCTGTCATACCACCGGCTAAATATTAATTTATTGAATATGATAGAGGACAAATTAGAAAATTTAGATGAGCTCTACCTGGACTAATGCCCAAAGCGATCCAACCTCTAGTTTTAATATGTAACTCGAACATTATTTCTTGTTTAACATTGTCCACTGACCACCAAAGATCGGCGACATTTTTTTCAAGTTCTGTCGAATATTGGTATTTAGTAAATGGTCTGACAGGACTCGAAATAGAATAGCTATCTTTCAATATCAATAGCATCACCAATATTTGAGAGATAAGAGCTATCCATATCATTTTAACTTAACTAAAAAACATGACAGATATGTGTTTTAAGCATATAGAAATAAACTTATGTAGAATATTATACTGATGTTGTCGAGTTATACGCATTTATAGTAAATTAACAAAACCTTTAAAATGTTTCTTTGAGGCTCACTGCACAACTATAATACGATTATGTGCATGCTTAAAACATCTTTAGATTTGAATGGACCTCGAATTAAATTGATATTTATCCTTGGATTTTAGTCGAGTCATCTATCTTTCTTTAATTACGTGATGATCTGAATTAGATTTATATGTAAAATAGAAATTTGCACATAGCAAGAACAATTTGTCATTTCTGTTGGATTAGAGAATATACTATTTGAATATTTATGCAAGCATTTTGCAAAAAAAGTGATTCCGCACCTAAAGAAAGTTATCTCACTATCTTGTTCCAGCTTCATCATTAGTTATGTCACCCACTCGTTCTTTGCGTTTAATCGATAACAAAAGTTTACTAATTTACTGTATTCTAAAGTAAAACCCATTCAATAGCATTATCACCATGATTATGAGGACTGATGCTCTTGCTATTTTTATTATTTTATAGCCTATATCTTAGTAATAGAGAGTGATCATAGATAAAACTAATTAGTATTCATGACTATTTTAGATCTTGATCTTGATATGAACTCCATAGTGACCGAAAACAAATCTATTCGTCATAGCAATATACCACTTGGTACGCTCTAACTAATTTAGCCCAGTGTTGCTACCAATCATCAAAAATCTGAATCGGTTGTATCTATGGTTTATATGTGTGATGGACGAGAGTAACTACTTGTTTTTGCATGTCTGAAGTATTTTGTGTATCAATAAAGATATGCCAACATGCATTTTATATTGCTACGAGCACTACTTTGAGAAGGATAATAAGATGTAGAGGACTTTCGTCAAATTTCTTATGACTTTTCACATCATGAGAGTACAATAGAATAGACTGTCATCTCACTGTAAGCTAAATCAATCAAAAAAATAACCTATCACTTAAAGAATAGGCGGGTTTAATCTAATAATGTTAACTCTAGATTTTGAGCAAGCAATCTTTTGACGAAGTCATTCGAGTGAAGCTAATGTGTATAATACATAACAAATAAATAAATATAGAGTTGTTTTCGATGACACGTTTCACATCTTCACAAGATGGCAGTCTTCTGAACTTTGTTAATAAATCTAGAATAACAGTGAAAATAAAAAAGTGATTATTATCCTATATTAAACTTAAAGGACATAGGCACAAAAATGCAGAAGAATTAAAACCATTTATTAAACAAAAATACTGAGAAAATTACCGCTTTCACGAGTGCATTAAGCAGACTATAATTAAATACTAATATAGATTCCCAAAAAAAAAGAGGAATAAGTTTATTACTACACATATTTAAGAACGAATAGTCTTTAATTGATAATCAACATGATGTTCTTCTACGAAATCTTTGATTTGTTGACAAGCCTATTTTTCTTTGATAATTACTGATAATTTAGCTATGACTAAATATTTGTTAGTATAGCAAGTATGATTATAATGTTAGTTATCAAATTCATGAGCTATTGTTTTTGATAACGACTATCTATTCGACTAAGATAAAGAAGACCAGTGAAAGCATCAGCATAGTGGAATGCCAATATTATCATAATCAAATAACTTTTGACATTTTGCCATAAGGCTACCTGTATGCGTATACGATCCGATGAATTCTTTTTGAATATCGCTTGAATTAATTTGATCATTTGAAAAAAAAGGTAGTACTATAAATACAGATTCCATTGATTATGAAGATTGTCTATGATTGACTAGTATTCAATGAGTAGAAAATAAACGAAAAAAATTGATAGAGGGTCTCCAAACAGTTAGATCTTATATCTATCTGATTGAAATAGCCTATCTAAGCAATTTTTGTCTGTAAGCGTTGAAAAAATTTGATTTGTAATGCAGTCCATTTATTTCTTCAAATAATCAAATTCATGAGATTGTCTCGATAAAAATTCTTAAAATTATGACCAGAATGCTTTTTTCAATTCTGACCGTCGACTATCATTATCATTAATAGATGAAGAAAAAAATGACAAGAAGTAGAACATTGACAAGCCTATTGAAAACAACAATGTAAAACATAACAAATAATATTTCAAACATGCAAAGAAAAGTTAGGAAATATTAAAAAAAAATACTTTAATGCAATTTTCAATAAAAACCCATCCGACGAGTTCAATTCATCAAAATCTATTTCCATGTATATGTAGCAACTGCTGTGACTTAGTCTTGTTTTTCGAGATTTTACTAATTGAAAATTTCTAACTAAATAAATTTTTTCAACCATTTTTCATGAAGAAATTTTAACAATAAACTAAACTATCAAAATAAATTTCACTATTTCAATAGAAAATTTTATTATTGTTTGGTAATTAAAAAATATCTATAGTGAAACTACTCAAGTATTAGAAACAATTTCTTGATTATATTTGTATGAAATATTTCTAAGAGCATAGAATCATGTATCTTCCTTATTAATCTTTGCGCTTTCTCAGAATAATCTAATAACTACAAAAACATAAAAGAAAAATCTATAATAAAATAAAGACACAAGAAATTAAATTTTTAATTTAAAAAAAAAAGTCAGTTTTATGTGATCAATGAAAAGTATAACTCAAATCGAAACAAAAATCTGTAAAATAATATCATTTTTAGTCAAAAATCTTACATCAACGAATAAATATCTTTGACATATTTGATCATACGAGTTAATTATTATGGAATGTGTACTTAATACACTAGATAAAATACTCTTGAAAATACTCACATAAAGTTGTTATTTAAATAATTAAATCGATATTCTAGAAATGTTTACAAGATTCAAAAGATTTATTTTGCTCTATTTCTTTATACTGTAACACATTGTGAACATGTTTATAAATGAATGACTTGTACACATTTGCTTACTAAATTCATGAACTTTTCTTCATTTATTTCTTAAAATATATTTAAAAAAAGAACGGAATAATAACAAATGTTCGTGAATCTATTTGATTTTTTTCTAACGAAAAAACCGCCAATCAAATGGTTCAACAGCTGTATGTTTAATTGGTGATATTGGTGGTTTAGTTGCTTTCCATGTACCATCATTTTGTTTAGCAATACAATGCATTGATAGAAAAGGAACACGTAAAACAAGAAATTTCAAATCATTAATACGTGGCTGACCACCGGTCAATTGTCGAGTACATACTTCAATTGTTGGTGCCTAAAAATACAAATTTTCTTTTTATTTTCTCAAAAATTAATGTAATTAATCTTACATGACCAACAATCAGTAAATTTCCTCCATCCATTTCATGATTTTTTAAAATTGATGTTACAGTAGAATGACTTCTTGTGTAATACATTAATTCATCTTCATCCTTCCTAAGACTTTCAATAGGATGAAATGCTTTATAAGATTTATCGACATTATATCCATTTCTTGTTAATTCATCTAGATCAAGAAATGGCCATTTTACCGGTACAACAGAATACCATTTGAGAAATTCGAAAAGACATGGTTCAATACGAATTGGTCTTTTATCACGTATTTGAAGGCCTTCAAGAATTTTATCAGCTGTTTGAACACAACGTAATGCAGGTGATGCATAAACATGATGAATTTCAACACCTTGTGCAGCAAGTTCTTCACCAACCATTTTACATTCATGTAAACCTAATTCAGTTAATGGAGGATCAAATAAAAAATCTTTCAAATCTTTTCTTGTAACCATTGTTTTAGGTAAATTTAAATTAAGTCGACGATATGCACCAGTTGTTTTATCAAATACTTGATCAAGCCAACTAGCACCAAATGTTGAATCAACTCGTTCAGCATGACGAACAACTAATAATTTTTGTGGTTCACAATACAATGATTGAGATGATTGTTGAGGTATTGTTTGTAGAATCATTGGTAATTTACTAAGACGTAATGAACGACGACGATTTAATGAATGAGTACTGGAATCACGCGGAAGGTTAAGATTTGTTTGAGCATATGGTTGTACAGTTGGATGAACAGTACTTTGCTGGTGATTCATTATTATTGGTTGAAGTGGCTGTTGTTGATTGATAAATACGGGTTCGGATAAACGTTTTCGATTTTTTCGTGCATCATTTAATTGATTGGAATTTTTTTCACGTAGAAGAACATTATTATAAAGATTTTCAATAAGGGTTTGTTGAATACGAGGATGATTTATGGTAGAATATGATATAGTGTTAGGCTGTAATGATGATTGGGATTGGAAAGATTCATTTGTTTGAGATGATGATTGAGTTGAAGATTGTATACCATTTCTACTTATATTACTAGACGAAACTAAGACTGGTGTAGGAGAGATTAGTCCAGCTGTTGCTGAAACATTAAAATTGAGTAAACTATAACGAAGTTGTTGTTGTTTCTGTTGTTGTGCAGTTGTACTAGTATCAGCAAATTGAATAGGTGTTTGAGCAAATGAAGCAGGTGTAGGAATACTCGGTGAATTTGAATACATATTATTAATATTGACAGAATTCGATTTATTCCTACTATTATACCATTTTGATCTGAAAAAAAGTAAAATACGATAAGAAAAAAAAGGCCATCTATGTTATTCAATGTAATTCATGGTTATCTGTCTACGTTGATAAAAGATACGATGAGAAGAAGGTCATAGAATAGGGAGAAGACAAGTGATGTGTAAACTAAACAAATATACAAAATAGACATACCTGAGATAATTTTTTTAGAGAATATAATTGGTTTGATATGCACAGCAGTAATTGCTATAGTCACATTGGTTACTGCATATACATACTGTAAGTATGTGTGCATTTTTATTTTATATATCATCGGTAAGGACAATCATGTTACCTGTGAGGTAGCCATTCTAATTACCTCGTTATATACATTAATGTATGTATGTCTTTCTCCTCATGCTTAACTTCGTATGCTGATTCTTCGTTGCTTGAAATGATAAATCGCGTGAGTTGATTTATGTTTTTTGCAATCTAATCATTATCAGTGATGGGTTAAATAATGACGCAAATGTACGAATGAATACCGTTTAGAAAAAAAAAAGAATGTGCCATGTACAGTGTATACACAGTCATTATTACTTACTGATTTTGATTTTATGTTCTTGCACGTTTTATATCAAGCTCAAATGAACAATAACGATACAAGATCTGTATGTGTTGACCTTATATAGTATCAAAACAAAAAGAAAACAACAGATTGTCTCGATTGATTTGCTTTCATGAAAAACCCAGTAATACAGGTGTATGATAGATAACTACATTAATCAATAAAATTTTGTCATGTGTCTTGAATATATATATATAAGTGCGTTTTTTCAGGCAATAATCAAGCTGAAGTAAACAGTGATGAATAAAAGAAAAAGAATGATAGTTGACAATGATATCGAATATTTTAAATGAAACTGTCAAAATAATATCTTTCGAATTATAATTATTCAAAAAGACAAGGGTATGAAAATAAATCGATTATTTTCACATTTATGTCTGCATATCATTAAAAAAAAGCTATACTCTACCTCTATTTTTTTTATCTATTAACAGACAAAAAACGACCATGTGACCATGTTCAATTATAAGCACCCTAGATATCAATCTAAATGAGTTAAAAATGACATTTATTCAATAAAAAACAAGTTCGTTATTCATAAATAATGTTTTTTTTCAGTTTCTACTAAAATTTAAATAGCCTGATATATCCAAATAATTCATCTTAATTGAAAGAGTTTCAATTAAATTTGTTTATGATGAAGAAGATACTTATCAGTCACTTTCTCACTTGCAAGGTCACGACTGTATATGTACTGGTTATTCATTCGAGCATGTTATTAACAACAGAAAACGAAAAAGGAAATTATTCATAAGCAGATATTACGATAGATAAAATATATGAAATATTTTTTGCACGTGAAGAAATAGATACTGGTTTATTTTCGTGTTAGTGCATTATAGTCTGCACCATAACTAAATTGTTCTCGAATTCAAACGTTTCCCATTTTTTTTTCTTTTAACAAAGCGTAATATCGATTGTTCGAATTCAATGTGAGACAGAATCATTGTTGACTATTAAATAGCGAAAATGTATCTTCACAACAACACATTCTTCACATAAAAAAATGTTTCGAAGGTATATAACAAACTATATACAATATTAACAAGTCAAAGTGACACTATAACATGTTTCTCTCATTTGTTGATTTCAAAACATATGACCGAAATGTACTGTTATAATTAGAAAAAAAACACATTATTTATTGTTGCATTGGGCATAGTGATGAAAATTCAATTCAGTTTGGATTGAAAGAACCTTGAAAAACTTAATTTATGACAAATAGGAATAAATAATTTTATGAAGAATGATTACAAATCTCTTAGAAACTTAATTCTCTTCAATTATAATATTAATTGTAAAACTGTATAGTTAGTTTTATTTATCATATTATGTAGCTACATGAATAAATCACGGAGAGAACTTGGAATAATAAAATTTTAATTATATGAAATATATAAGGTCTTTTACGTAATTGACGTCATCAAAACTTTTTGTTCGATTATGTCTCTGCTTGTTGACATATGCAAATGCATAAAAGTATCAACAACAAAATGAGAGTTATAAAAAGTTAAATAAACAAAAAAAAAAAAGGGGAAGAAAAATCGAGAATAAAATACAGTAGAATATAATCGTAGTGAAATGAAGCAAGTACGGTAATGATTGAACAAAATGACAAGTAAAAATGAGTTACTGTTTATTAGTAATATACATTGCGATGAAAAATTGAATCAAAAGAAGAGAAAAAAATCTATCTACACTTTTCAATACTGAAAACGCGAGACAAAGTAATACATGATATATATATATATAGCTCACATCGAGTGACTTCATTAATAATATTTGCTGTGAAATTTTTTAATTACTTTTTTACATCTGATTTTTTTAATTTAATTTATTTTTCATACTCATTTTTGCATTCAAAAAATATTCATGTTAATAAAAATTAATTAATAATGTAGATTTTTTTTAATGTCATGCTTAAACATTATTATTTTTTTTCATCTTACCGAATTTTTTTACTTATATAAATATGCAAGAGAATTCCTACAAGTATGCCAGTGAATAATATTCTATTGCTATTCGTCAATTTTTATTCTGTTCCTTTTTAATAAATGATACAACCAGGCAACCAACATAAAACAAAAATACAATGTCTTTAAGCAAAACTGTAGATTTTGCTCAAATATTAACAGAATTAAAAGATGGTTCAATATTAACAAAACGAAAACGTAATGGAGAAAAATATTCACGTCATTTTTATCTTGATGCATATGAAGATTTTATCTCATATCATCAATCGGAAAAAATTTTTGCTCAACCACGTCGCTGTAAGTCGTATCATTTTCTTTTTATTCTGAAAAAAGAAATTATACACACAATATTTTCTTGATGAAACCATTTATCTATATGTTTGGAACATAGATTACATTCGAGATATCGACGAAATTCGAACTGGCTTTCATACGCAAACATTTGATGAACTTCATAAGCAAGATATTATTCATTTGGACCATGTAAGTTATTCATTTGAATAATTTCAACAATCGTTTGAGATTTCTTGTTAAATTTTAAAAATTTATCCTATTAAATATTGACTAATATTTTAATTGCATCTATCCACTTTTTTGGTACATTTCTCAAATGAAACTCGACTATTACTCTTATGGGTTTCTTGCATTGATAAAATATACCTTGAAGAGATGCGAGATCTATTAGCTTAAATATTTTTTTTTATTTATATATTTGTCTGTGAAAAGAATAATATCTAGGAAGTATTTGCATTCTCTATTATTTACAATAATTATCGAGATGAACTTCATTTAATGGCAAATGATGAACAAACAGAACGTAAATGGGTACTAGGATTACAATATTTAATCGATCTTTATACACAAAAACGAGCAAGACATATTATTTATGATACGAAGTAAGAGATACATTTATTAAATCAATTATCTATTATCCTCATGTATTTTCTTTTTATTAGCTGGATTTTAAGCCATCTACGATTTGGTGATAAAGATAAATCGAATACCATCACTAATCTTGAATGTCAACAATTACTAGCTGATTCGTTAAACGTGGAACTACCAGAAGATGTTTTTGAAAAACTTTTCCAAGTAAGATAAATCTAATTCACATTATTTTGCGAAATACGATCTAAAAGAAGCGTTGAAGAACAGAGGCAGAAATTTAAATCTTCTTTCTCTCGCCACAGACATGACAGATATCTTAGCAACGATTCTGTGAACTTTAGTGGAAAGTGAACATGTTGAAAGGTAAAGATATCGAACGATACATCTGTTGAGAATGATAGAGTATGACAAGAGCAGTTCCTTTCTACCCCTCCTCATTCATACATTCACATTTTCATGCTTCGATTTTGTTTGTAGTATTTTTTTAATCTTTTGACCATAGTAGAGATTACCTTAGAAACGACTGATCACAGAAATGACAGACGCCTTAGCACTAATCCACCTTTTTGTGCGTCACAGACTGTGACAGGCGTTGTTGATATATGATCTCAGAGGATATATTAATAATGTCTTGATCTAATATACGAACTACTTTCTTATTGTATTTCTTGAGAATTATGTAAAAGGATGGTGAAAAAATGTGCTCCAAAAGACATAGAATAAAATAATCTTCCTTTGGCTAGCAACAGCAACTACATCGTATTTCATATATTAATTCCGAAAGAATGGCGCTAACAGCTTTTTACTTCGTTACTATTTTGTATTACTTAGGAAACAGATAAAAATGGTAAAGGTATTTTGACTCCGGATGAATTTATAAATTTCTTTCAAATTCTTGCTCGTCGAATGGATCTTTATGAAATTATGCAAAAGTAAGTGAATAGAAACAGTTCTATTAGTTCAATTGATATATCTTTATTCAGATATGTGGAAAATGCTGATGAACAAACAATTGAAACAATTTGTATGAATATTAATGAACTTTTGTATTTTCTTCAAACTGTTCAAAATGTAAGTTAACTGTATTTTATTTATTCATATACAAAAGAAAATAGTTATATTTCTGTAGCAAAATATTTTAACTTATTCATCAAAACAATTTAAAGATGATTTCACAGTTGAACCGATTACGACATACGAACAAGTACAAGAATTAATTACTAAATTTGAACCAAATATTGAGTTACAAAAAAAAGGTCTTCTTAGTCTCGATGGTTTGTATTCGTTTTAAATAAATTATTCGTTAGCTGAAGCTCAGAATAATAAAACTCGAAAGAAATCACTGAAAAATATAACATCTTGTTTTCCATAAAATATTAAAATTGATTCGAAATGTTATTTGGATACTGCTAAAAATGAGACATTGATTAAATTATCATCGTTGATATATATGATTTATTTATAGGCTTTCGAAATTTATTATTATTCGAAGATTTTTCTTTGACAAAGCCATGGTATTCTCGTCGACCTTATCAAGATATGACGAGGTACATTGAACAAAATTATCTTTTGATTGTTTTGATATTTTTTCTATCATATTTCAGACCATTAAATGAATATTACATAAATGCTTCACACAATACGTATGATTCTTCGATATGTTCTATATCAATGCAATAAGTAGAGTTATATAATTCTAGTTATCTATTCGGTAGTCAACTGTCTGGAGATAGTAATCCTGAAGCATATAATCGAGTATTACGTTCTGGTTGTCGTGTAGTTGAAATGGATTGCTATGATGGTGATGATGGCCAACCAATAGTCACACATGGATTTACATTTGTTAAACCATGTCTTTTCGAATCGATCATTCGACTCATCAAACCAAACTTATTCAAAGCATCACCGTAACTTTTCAAAAATCGACATACTTCAGATTCATTAGTTATTCATCAAATTTTCTGCTATAGTTATCCAGTTATTCTTTCAATAGAAAATCATTGTACGAGCACACAACAAAAAGAAATAGCTCGTATTTTGAAACAAATTCTTGGAGGTAAAATAGATGAAATTAAGTACACAGCATAACTTTTCTTTATCTATTTTTGTAAAGATCTATTGATCACTGTACCTACAACAGCTCAAACTTCATCGGCATTACCATCACCAGAAGATCTCAAACGTAAAGTTCTTATTCGAGTGAGTCAAATGGTTTTCTTTAAGAAAAATACTTCGTAATATCGGATAAATTATGCATTAGAGTATAAAAACATCATCGTCGACAACAACTTCCAAACCATTACAAGATAAAGATATTAATAAGAACATTATTGTTTTTGATCAAACAAATGAAGTCTGTTAGTTAGACTTATTTAACAATTATTTTTTATTTTAATACAAGTTTTAGATAGTTGAACCTGCTCGGACTGATTCGTTTGTCCTTTTAGAGAGTAAAGCCTTTAGAGAATCTGATGCTGCTAAGAATCTTTGTAAGTAGATAATATATATTTTTTTCTTTTTTGATTTAATTAATTATCATAGATTTTTGTTATCATTCACCATCACTATCTGAAAGAGAACTAAAA